TAGCTGGCGGGGTATTTTTTTTAGTTGATAGGTGAACTCTTTGTGGTATCGAGACTCCTAGATCTTAAAGTTCGATTGCTACCTTTGCTTACGGGGACGGTCATCGTCTCGAACCCTTAGGTTTGAGTTGTGTCCCTCATTGACCGCGGAGGTGCAGGCATCCTCCTGTACATCGGCAGACAATGTAAAGCCGTAGCGACCGTAAGATTGCGGAGCCTGAGACCAATCGTGCTCTGAGGTCAGGGAAGCAGTGCTTCCCGACCAAATTGGTACTACGGGGCGTCGCCGGAGCCCCGGCGGAGCTTTGGGTGGACGGCGAGAGTGCTTGCACTGTTCGGCCGTGGCGGTCGTAGTGGTCGATGTGTTTACGACCACTCGCTGCACGAAACCAGTGTTCAGCTAGTCTTGACGTTGTTCAGGCTAACTTCTGGTACAATGTGTGGACGAGTGGACGGAAGCTATGGTAGTAGAGTTTGTCTTTTTCCGTGGGCACCGGTTGTATGCCTGAATCCTTCTTGGGCGTAACCGGTCTAGGGAGTTAGGTTGGAGGCCGGTTAAGACTTGCGCTAGGTATGGCTTCCAACCGATGCTCCCTTGATCATAGAGTACCCGCTACACTCCTGCTACCTTTGCTCGACATTACCATGTGAAAATATCGCATCTCATGTTAATTAATTAGAGGTAAATGTAATAATTTGTAAAAAAAAAGTCCTTTATCAATTACGTATATATTACGCGAGTTTGTAGAATTCTGAGAAACGTAGATGTACTTCCGCCGAAGGGCAGCAGCCCACTGGTCGGATTAGCGAATGTATATGGCCGGCTTGTTATCTATCACTATCCTCAGGTCTATTTACACTGTTCACAATGCCGTTATAAATAAGTGATTATTCACCTTATTTATGTCCAGTTTCAACTTAATTGTTAACTTAACAGTTCACACTACTTTTTCACATATAACATGAATTATTTCACTGATAATAAAGTCACTTTATAAGAGACGAAATAAAGAGTGTATGTGTAGGGTTAACGCATGCGCAGAACTCGCATGTAGATAACTAGAAAGAAATAACCCATAACAGAGATAGACCAGGCATAATAAGGTGTCAAAATATTTACATGGTCTGTAATGCCAACAGAAAAGAAAAATAAATACATATATATCTTTTACAGTAATTATTTAATTTGGAATAAGGTCACTTAATAATTATTCAATAAACTACTAAATGTTCATTGCTTCTGTGTTTATACGACGTTTTGATCCTTTTATCGGTTTTTTATAAGTTAACAATGGGATCCTCTTCATAGATTTAAAATTGAGATCGGTTACCTCAGGCCAGGGGCACACCGACAGTCTCAGCACCATCCACCAGCACATATATTACCCTACTAGTAGCTTTCAAACCAACGCCGTGCAGTGCGCTGGTCAAGGACACCTTCCCCTTTATATTTAATAATTTCACAAGTTGCTTCAACAGCTGTGAAATTTTTTTTCCAGTAATGCTTTAAAATAACGAGAATTTCGTAGCACACTGTCATGTTTCTTCTTTGAAACAAATAACCTAAATGAGGCTTTTTTTGAAGAAGTCAAAAGGGATTAAACAAGCTTATAGAATGCTCTAAAGGGATTATTAAGTATTGGTAAGAATTAAATAAGATTCAAATATTTACAGTCCTTTAAAACCTTGAATTTGATAAACATTTTTTTTTATACACCCTATTAATAGTTTCTTGTCATTGCTTGATTTCTATAATTTTTCTTGTATTGCCATAAAAAAGATTGTTATAATTTGTTTTTCCTCATTATAATTTGTTAATTGCATCTATCCTAAAGGTCATTTTGCTTGTGTTGTCTTTATTCATGTGCTAATTATTTCTATAATTATATTTACTCTACATATTAATAGCATTGTGGGTATTTAATAATTATGTAACTTTGTCCGAGACATAGACAATATATTTTAATTATTAGTGAATTGATGGTTGACTGTAGTGAATAATTGATGAGAAGTTGGTTGGGGTGTTCAGTCAAAAATAAAATGTAAAAATAAATAATGATTGTATTTTTATTTTTGCCGACGTTTTGGTCCAAAGTTCAGGCCTTCATCAGGGCTGATCTCATGATAGGTTTCCGTAAGATGAATCAAATGTATTTTAATTACCAAGTATTTAAATTATTTTCAGAAAAAGTATTTCAAATACAAAATAACAAAAGTATTTTGTATTCTAATTACAAATAACAAAATACTTACATCTCATGAAATGGCACTTTACAACAAATACATTGAGAAATAGGTTTATTTTAGGAGGAAAAAGAATTATGAAATTAGAAGATAGAGGACATAATGTTTGAAAAATTAATTGGTAATAAATTATTTTATTCAATTTTATAATAAAAGTGATTTATTTTGAACAATATAAAATCAAATCGATGTTTTGTCAAATTATTTAATTTTCAATATTCTCTAAGATATAATATAAATTGAATCCTGCATTTTTATTAATTAAAATGTTCTTGAAAATATTATCAAAGAAAAGACAGCATGTCTTTTCCCAACTAATCAGCTGTCGGTTTACTTTTATTTATTTATATTACAAAATATGCTCTTCTACCCTTTCTTATGATAAGACCATAGTGTTGCGCATAATTTATTTAAGGTTAGTCAATTTTATGACCAAAGATTATTGTATTACAAATTAAATACAATCGATCTTAAAATGTTTTTAAGTTAGATTTTCACAGGAAAGAATTCTCATGCAAACAATTTGCCTTACAAAACTTCAAGTGGAATCTTCTCTATTAAGTAATTTATTTTGTGTGATTAAATACATTTTTTGTATTTTAGTATCTTGGAAAAAAAAAATACAAATGCTTCTTTTTTATTTTGTATTTGAAAAAGAAAATAAACTTACAGACAAAAATACAAACATGTATTTTAAAATATTTTTTTTGAAATACTACTCAGGTCTTCTTAGACCTAATATTCATTAATAACGATCATTCTATCCAACATTTTAATCAAGATGAATTTCAAAGAAAATTTAATCATTTAATTAATTTGCTTTATCTATTATTTCTGTTTTATCAAAATTAAAATTGTTACTGTTTAGCAAGAGCTGTTCAGTTAACTTTTGTTTGTCTATTTTTTTTTTCTTATTCATAACAGGTTAGATTATGTTGTTTTTTTGGACACTCGACATCTCTCGACACTTTTACAGCTCATCATTATCGCAACTCGATCCTTGCAAATACTGGATGGATGCAAATAAAATTAAAATTTATAGAACAATTTTAATACAAGTTTTCAATTTCAAGGCTTATCAGTCAACTTTATTTTTTAGTTTTCTAATTAACTGATTAATTAATTAATTATTTTTTTAAACATTTAATTTGCTGCTGAACAGAAGAAGCTCCAAAAATTTAATCATTATCAACTATCATCCTAGTACAGCCAAGTTCACCTCAGGTAACACAAAACATTCTATGACTCCAGAAGCATTCAAGGGAAAAATTATTGATTGTTTCATCCCTCCTCCCTCAAATTGAATATAAGGTCAGAAAAGTCTGATGAGTGTGTAACCGTACCTAATCCTCAAAATGTCTGAATTTGACAAAATATTAACTAATAGGAAATAAATTTCGACAGTGGTATACTTGAGATTTTTGTTTTGGGGAATGTTAAAATGGAACTGAAAAATAGATATAACATGACTTAATAAAAAAATTAAACATTAGTGAAATATAATTCTATTATCCGATCTTAAATAAAAAAGTAATGTATTTTTTAAAAGGCAACTAATAAAGGATCCTAAATGCTAAATAAATTTACTAGAATAAAAAAAAAGTATATATAACTGGTCACAAGAGGAGGATTCAGAAGAGGAAGGATCACGCTAGACCAGATCTTTATCCTAAAGCAGGTGCTCAAAAAATGATGGGAAATAGCTCAGAATATGCACAGTTCATTTGTTGATATAAAAACATCCTATGATTCTTCTGATAGAAACTGTCTTTAGGCCATGTTTAAACTAGGTGTTCCCAGACAATTGAAAAAAAATTATGAAGGTGTGTACAAATGATCCTAAATGTTGAATTTTGGTTACAAGGAAAAGTATCTGCAGCCTTCAAAGTCGGAACTGGTTTGTGGCAGAGAGAGACTTTTGCTGATGCTGTTCAACTTAGCATTGGAGAAAGAACAACATCAAGTGAAAGTGAAGGGATGCAAGTAGGAATGAATTATAAAATTCTAGTGTATACAGATTATATAGCTACTTTTGGAAGAAATTAAGAGACGCTAGGACTAGACATTGGAAAGTCTGGTATACTTCAATTTTTGATGGATTTTAAATGGAGAAACATAGATATTAAAATGGAGAAACAACTAAATAAATCACTAAGAAACTTTTTCTTTCAATAAAATAAAAGCCTATCAAAAGGTGAGGCAGAGAGAGGGGGGATGATCAATAGAAGAATAGATTTGGGGACTCATATTGTATAGATAATGAAATGAAGATCTGGTTAAGTGTATCTAGGTGCTTGTGAAAGATAGAAAAGAGAGGATATAGTGTAACATGTAGTGCTAGTCCGACAGTTAAATGAGTGTTTATTATACCACGATCTAATCTTTGATAGTAATAGAAATGTTTTATTTATAAATTATGTTTAATATAATCTGCAAAGTAATTAACATTTTTTAACAAAATATATAAAGGAGATGGTAATATTACACACACACACATATATATATATATATATATATATATATATATATATATATATATATATGTGTATATATATGTATGTATGTATGTATATGTATATAGAGGGTATATCTGTTATTACTGTTAGTACTGGTTCTATATTTCTCATCATCAAAATAAAACAATTTTTTAAGTGAAAAATTAAAATATGACTAAGGTGACAGCGATTTAATGTGGGCTGTATAAGAATGAAAAACTGAAACAATCTAATCCAGCTCTGCACCAAAAGACATACTTACTATCAGAACATGGAGGTCCTTTACACATTTTCATGACTGTAGGTCTTGGAATTTCTCTGCATGCATTACCAGCTGGTTTTTTTGTTCCATACCAAACACATTGCAAAATCCTATATTTAACTCCTTGACTATCACACTGAGCTGTACACTAAATAACAAGAAAAATAATAATTGTCAATGCCAAATGGATAATATTAACAAATGAATGGTAAAATAAAATTATGATGCAGAAAAAAAACTTCATTTTCAAAGAAACTAACAATCAGCAAATTACTCTCTCTCTTTCTCTCTCTCTCTCTCTCTCTCTCTCTCTCTCTATATATATATATATATATATATATATATATTTAGGGTGAGTTGGGAGGAAAGGGCAAAACTCCAGGAGTGGGTTGCACACAGGAAAAGAAAAATCTAACTTAGACTAAGTTTTAAGATTTTAATAAATGTTCAAAAATACCACTATTGACTTCTAAACATTTTCTACTATGTCTTCCAAAGACGATAGTTGCCCTCCTGATTGTTTCATATCTTCCTTTAATGGCGCCTGTAGCATTTTTAATACATTGAATTAGTAACCTGAATATCTACTTTCACTTTGTATACTTCATCTTTGAACCAGACCCATAAATAATAACTGTGAGATCTGGAAATCTTGGAGGCCAACTAATTAGACCACCACAACCAAACCAACGATCAATGACAAAGCCTAAAATGTTTATAAGTCATTGGTGGTATTTTCAAACATTCATCAACATAACACTTTGATAACCAAAATGCTAATACATGTATGAAATATTGTTTATTCCTGAAATTATGTTTATGTTTAATTAGCCAATAAAATGAAAAAAAAATTTGTTTGTTCTCCCCTTCCTCTCCTCTTTAGGCTATACGTGGTTTTCCCAGGCTAGGGGAGTGGGTGGGGAATTAATACCAGAGTTGAACCCCGGCACAGGGATCCGAACTCGTAATTATTTTATCTTCTATAACTTCTGTTATCAGGTTACCGGGCAACACATGGTGATGTGTACACGTGTTAGCCAGCTTGGCCACCCAACCCCTAATAAAATGTAAGCAAATGAAAATCAGATAAGAACATATGAGTTTTAAAAGTTGTTTTCCTGTGTGCAACGCACTACTAGAGTTTGATCCGTTCCTCCCAACTTACTATATTGACATATAAGACTGATTAAAATAAAATTTCTTTTATATTTGATTTTATTTATTGAATTTTTTACAAAACAATATTTAAATCAAAATTATAAAACAATTGAAACCAATTGAGACAAGAACAATATAGAAATAAATAAAAAACTTTAAAACTAAATGTACCAAGAACACATTAAACACAAAGCTTTAGATATGAAGAAAAAAAAAAATAGCATTGATAAGGACCTAAGGATTGATAGAAAATATAGACTATGCGATACTTAATATGAAACTTTCAGAGGGATGGAAGCAAACCTCAAAATAGGAACTAAAACAAAAGAGATGGAATGTGAATAAATTCAGATTTGATTTGAAAATGATTTTTTATAATCTTGAATTTAAATTCTTACATTCAATCCAAAATAATTAACTAATGATTAAATAGTTATAATAAATACCTTTATCTAACATTTTATTGATAATGATAAATGTACATACTTATATATACATATTACAGAATATGAAAAATAATGAATCCAATTGTGTGGTGTGAACACCATTGGTGATTGATAAAAGAATGTCGTAAAGATCTTAAAAATTTACAATAAATAATAGACTAACCTTCACTTTGGCGGTACATATGCTAGAATTGAAATGATAGACTAACTTCATTGACTGAGTAACAAGCAAGAAAAAGAATGGAAGAAAAAGTTGGGTATTGGAAAGTTCAAAAATAAATAAACTTGGTTTTGAAGTAAATGATCATGAAAAAAGATACTAGGAGATAAAGAAAACACCACCAGCAAGTGAGGGAATGAGAATTAGGTCTTAAAATTATGTACAAATAAGTTATGATGTCAAGGTTCCCAAAACATTCACTTCAGTAAACTGTTTGATTTTATAAAATTTGTGAAAGGGTCAAACAATATGGCAATGTATGTAATTTGTGACTAAAAAGAAGATATACCATTCCTTTGTAGAAAGCGTAGCCACTTACGGATCAGAAGTTTGGACACTGACAAAAAAGATGGAAAATAAGTTGCTTTCCATGGAAATGGATTTCTGTAGAAGAAGCTGTGGCATATCTAGAATCGAGCGGATCCCAAACACAGCTATTAGAGACAAGGTCGGATGTCAAAAGAACATCCTTCACCTGATCAGGACCAAACGGTTAAAGTGGTATGGCCACTTAATGCGGATGGATGAGAACCGCTGACCAAAGAAAATTTATAACTATATGCCACCTGAAAGAAGGAAGCATGGAAGGCCAAAGAAGAAATGGATAGAGGACGTGGAGGAAAGCATGGTAGCCAGAGGGCTTCGTGAAGGAGATTGGATGGACAGGAAGCAGTGGCTTTTGGGTTTGGGAATATGACTCTTTAAGTTGTATAAAACCCAAATAAAAAAAAAAATGTAATTTATGTTCTTTTAACTCCTCATAGAAGATAATATAAAATTTTATTAAACTAAACATCAATCATTCGAAATTATGTAACAGGAAGCCTATGGTTAGATAAATATTATTATTTGAAACAGGTTGTTGATCAACAGCTGTTTCTTAATTGGTTGTTGAGTAATAACATCTGACAATTATTTTGAAGATTCATTTGATTGATATTTGTTGATTCATGAATCATTTCATTGGAATTTATTCAACCTCTGCCTATTATCATTTAATTTTGTACAAGTCAGTGTGTTTTTATATAGAGTGCTATAGCCCTCAATCACTCACAACAGGAACATGAGTGAGCGGTGAGCTAAGGAAAAGCATGTAACCAGTGCTATGAAAGATTTTGAACTACTTAAAATGGGCTTTTATGTCCATATATACTAAAGATGGAAACTATTCCAGTGGGCTAATCTCCATTCAACAACTTTTTTTTTTATTATTTTAATGGAATTTACAACTGTATTACATATAAAATACAATAAGTAAATGTGAAATTGATAACATGACATGCACAACATGAAGAGAAACTACCCATTGTTAGAACTCAATCAACAACTTACATTGTAAATTTACAATATAATCAAATTAAACTAGACAGTTTAGATTGAAGGTGGTTTTACACCTTCCTTGGCCATATGTGGAATATGGGGGAAGGGGTTATCCTACAGGTAACCAACCTATTCTATCCTCAGTAGGAGGGTCAAGATTCAATCCATGGGTATGCAAAAAAATAAATTTCAACAAACACAGGTCAGTTTTGATCCAGCACCACTGAACTTAAGCTTTTATTGCAATTTTTAGTTAATTTCATATTTAAATGCCAGATTTAATTTTAAAAAATCTAAAAATTCGGATGTTAAAATGATTATAAATTTAAAATTGGATATACAGTGATGGAAAAAAGTATTTGCACAACATGTTTTTATGAATAAATTAGTTCAAGGAAACAAAAAAACATCGCTTTCCTTTGCAAAAATGAAAAGTAAATTTATTAAAAACTGAAAAAAATTTTTTACAAAAAAATAAAAACACTCTATAATCAAACAAAATAATTAAAACAATATAAGTACTTGGAAAAAAGTATTTGCACACTTCCACATTTACAAATTTATTTTAAATTTAAATGGTTTTAATATTTTGTAAATAGGCCATTTGCGTCAATAATTGCTTGTAGACGTCTGGGCATTGAATGCACTAGGTCTTTAATTAAATCTACGTTTATTTGTTCCCATTCTTGAACAAGAAGTTGTTTAAGGTGATGTCCACTAGTGATATGGTGTTTTCTTACATTTTGGTCAAGGGTGTGCCATAAATTTTCAATGATATTTATATCTGGTGACTGAGGAGGAGTGTGGAGCTGTCTTGGAACACTAAATATTAACCACTCCTTTGTTCTCCTCGCAGTATGTTTTGGATCGTTGTCCTGCTGGAAATAGTACTGATCCTGGATTCCCATTTTTTCGGTACTAACACGCAAATTACGTAGCAAAGTGTTCACAGAGCCTTCCGCATTTAAAATGCCTTCGATGCTCACAAGATTTCCAATGCCATGGTAGGAAACAACCCCCCAAACCATAACATGTCCTCCACCATGCTTTACAGTTGTTAAAACATTTTGCTTCTTTAGGCCTTCATTACGATGTCGCCATATCTTTCTTCGACCATCTGAACCAAGCAAATTAAATTTGCTTTCGTCAGAAAAGATAACATTTTCCCAAAAGCTTAAATGCTTCTGTACGTACTCCCTAGCAAAAGCAAGGCGCTTTTTGTGATTCATTTCACTGATGTATGGCTTCTTTCTTGAAACTCTACCATGGAGCCCTTCCGAATTCAGGGCATATCTAATTGTTCTGCTAGTAATCTGAACTCGAAACGTTGATTGGACTACGGTAGCCAGCTCCCGAGAACTTATCAGAGGATTTTTAAGAGCTTCTTTTCTGATTTTCCTCTTCAGCCTGGGAGTTAACGTTTTTGGACGCCCTTTACGCTCACTGTTTTCAGTTGAACCACGTTCTTCATACCTTTTTATGACGTATCTCACTGTAGAAAAATTCTACCCTAAGAAATCGGTGATTTGGCGATATGTTTTTTGCTAACTCCTCAGTTTAACAATTTTTTCGCGAGTAGCGGCACACAGTTCACTTGTCTTTGGCATGATAATTGTCTATTGAATAAAGGAAATTGATTGAAAGACTAGAGAATACTGGCAATAAACGATTAGAGATAAATTAGTAAACAAACCTATGACCTATGGACAGAGGAGGATTAATGGCAAAGTAAACAGAGCTTGTGAGTCATAGTGTGCAAATAATTTTTTCTAAGCACTTTTATTGTTTTAATTTTTTTGTTTCATTATGGAGTGTTGTCATTTTTTTCCAAAAGGTTTTTCTCAGTTTTTAACAAACGTACTTTTCATTTTTGCAGAAGAAAGCGAAGTTTTTTGGTTCCCTGAACTCATTTATTCATAAAAACATGATGTGCAAATACTTTTTTCCATCACTGTAAATATACATTAAAATAAACATTAAATAAAAGATAATCACCTCAGACCAATCCCCAACCCTCCATGTTCCTTTACATTTATCATTAAAGCACTCTTGTCGAATTGTAGGTTTAGTTTGCTCGTCACAAAGTTCTTGTTCAACTAAGGTATTATTGTCAATCTGACACTCAATACCTCTTCTCTGCATAGCTAAAATTTTTTTAATAAGCTATATATAACTATAATGTGGAAAAACGATAAAGTTAAAGAGATATAAAAAAAATTAACTTACCTGTATTATATGTGAAACACCTTGACTCTAGACAAGGTTGCCATGGAGAAGCTACCCAATAAGGGCAAGTTGAAAGACCACAATTACGTATTGTTTGTGGGATATGTAAGCCAGCATCAACGCATAAATTACTATCAACGTCTTGAGTATTGTTGTGTAGTTTTACTGTGCAATGAGCAGCCCGAAGCTTGAAAAAATATTGAAAAATTATAATGGGTGATAAATATTCATATAATATAATCATTATAAAGTTTTTGTTGATGCTGATGTTTCAACCCAAACATGTGGGTCATCATCAGAGCTGAAAAATTGTTTAATACAATCAGATATATAATATTATATGACAGGTAAAGGTTAATAATATGTAAAAAAATAGTGATTGATGTTACATGAAATATGTAAAAAATTATACAAACTAAAAATAATGTATATAATCAATTTATAAAAAATGTAATATTTACTCTTACTACGCGTGTTTAGAGCACTGAAGGTATTCAAGTACTGACACTTTGGTAGGGAAGTAAGAGGGTTGGTGGAGGATTTTCCAAATGTTCGTTTAAGATAGCAAAAGGTAGGTAAACATAGTCAGAGGGAGAAGGGGGAGTAACATTTCTGTTTGAAGAATGCAAGTAATTTCATAACTAAAATATTCAAGATGTATACAAGATTTACGTTGTTTCTTATAGTTAAAAAATTGTGACTATTGGTTTGCAATGAAATAAAAATAAATAAGAAATTACAGTCAATAAAAACATAACATAGTTGGATTGGAGGTTTACAATAGTTAACCAAATAATGTTTACAATACAGACAATTGTTGTGAATTGAAATGGAAGGTAGTACAATATATTATTTTACGATACTACGATTATATTACAATAAGATATTTTAAGAATAACAATATTAATCATAAAAAAAACTATTATATTAAGGATTACATAGTACTAATGGTATAATTATAAACATATCTGTGCCTGTTTATAGTAATTTGTATATGTTTATATTGAGAGTAGATGCTATATATATAATAAATGTAGGAGTAGTTACCTCTGTACATTGACAAGGAAAAGGGGAAAATAAAAAACAATTTTTAATTATTATAGACTATTGTTTGAGGAGGTGGAAAATGTTCAAATATGTATTGCAGATTTTTTCTATCTCTACTTTGTGATTAACGGATTATTTTTTTCCAAATTAATGAATATAGCTTCTGAAAGTAGTCATTTTTGGTGGTTGGGAACTGTGGCAAGTATGGTTGGGTTGTCAAAATCAAATGTGTGGCTAAGGGTTATGGCATGTTGGGCTAGTTTCGAGGCGAGCAGTTTGCGTGTGGAGATGCTGTATTTGTATTGGTATACTCGTTTTTTTAGATAATATTTTGTTACTCCTATATAAGTTGAATTGCAGTTTGGGCTAGGGCATGCCATATGGTATACTATGCCATTACAATATTACATTTTTTATAAATTGATTATATATATTATTTTTAGTTTTTATAACTTTTTACATCTTTCATTTGTTCATTTCTGGTATCATCAATCACTATTTTTTTTTTAAATTATCAACCATTATCTGTCATATAATATTATATCTCTGATTGTATTAAACAATTTTTCAGCCCTAATATGACCCAGATGTTTGGGTTGAATCCTATCCCTTCTGATTTTCAACACGCAAAGTCAGTATCCTCTTTCAAATCTCTTCTCTTCAAACACCTACTCCATTCTCAATTCAGTTCATCATGAAATGCATTTAATAATCTATGTCGCAAGACTCTAAAGTAACTCCAGATACTTTGATTATTTTTTCATTTATTGATATTGTGTTTATTTATTTTACTTTTCTTTGTTTATTTTATATTTATGTACGTTTTTATATATTTTCATTATGTGAAATTTTATTTTATTACCAATCATCTTGTAAATATTTAATTTTACTTTAAGGACACATTAACATGTTAATTTATATTCTGTATTTATAATTTGTTCTAAAGGGACACTAGTCCCAGAATAATAAAATTATTTTCATTCGTTTATTCATTGATTCATTATCGATACTTGGCATTCACAGCTGAAATGCAGCAGCACAAAACAGAAATGACTGGTGGTCAATGCTGGAGTAGGCCAAGACTCAGCCCGTGGATCGCAGAGCCGTATATTAATAAATTACTTGAATATTTTTAAAAACTTGCTTCATCTCATCAGTTTTCCAAGGATATATCCAAGTTTACAAAGCTAGTCTAATAATGTTTGTTAATTATTTGGATGCCTTAATTTATGAAAGTAAATTGTTTATATCTAATTTTAAGCTAGCTGAAATCAAGTGCTCTTGTATTAGAATCTGGACTCTATTTATAATTAATGTAAGGAAAATATAAATGGTTTATTCTATTTACCTGATAACCATTTCCACCACAAGTTTTAGAGCAAGCAGACCAGTCTGAAAGAACCCATTCAAAAACCAGATTTTCTGGACTTCCTAAAAAAAATAATTTATTTATGTATAAAACTGTGTTTACAATCACTATAATACACATTTTAATTACGCACACACACACACACACACACACACACACATATATATATATATATATATATATATATATATATATATATATATATATATATATATATATATATATAATCGGGAATCGGGATGTGGTTTGGGAGACCACACTCGTGGTCAAAGATCTTCATGGTCTGTAGTGCCAATCAAAATATATATATATATATATATATATATATATATATATATATATATTTTCGGTTGGCACTACAGACCATGAAGATCTTTGGCCGCAAGATGTGGTCTTCTTACAGACATGTGATACTTGCGGGAGCTCAGATAGCCTGGAGGGGATCACCCAACCTCACGTTGCTATGAACCATGATTTCTATGGTACAGCGGCAGGCCACCCGTAGCTCCATAGCCAATCCCTTTGGGGCCACTCTGGCAATGTCCTTCCCACCGACTTTCTCGGGTTCAAGAACAGTGAAAAATCGGTCTAGATCCATGGATTATGGCTGCTTGGAGTCAGCAGGTGCACGAGGACCTATATTTCTTTCCCCGAAACAGACCGTCCATGGACCGAACCTCAGGGGGGCTATAAACATCCTGGTAAACCGATTCCCAATTTAAATACGCGGGGTAGGGTCATCAGTCCTACAGTCCTACAGTCGGTCTGAGTTGCCTCCAGTAGCCTGACGGGCCTCACATACCCGGGGGGGAGGGAGACTCGGGCAGCATGGCTTTCCCTGGTGGACGGTCACCCATCCAAGCACTAACCACGCTTGACGTTGCTTAACTTTGATTACCTATTGCAAGCGCCTTAGCCAGTACAGCTACCGCAGTCCCATATATATATATATATATATATATTGTAATGTCAACATTACATGGTATATAAAAGTGGCAAGAGCATGAACTACGGTGCGGATGGTGGGGGAAGCAAGCCTCATGTAACTCAGACTGCGACGGGCCGCCAAGAGGGAAGGTGCTAACGACCAAGAGGGAAGGTGCTAGCGACCAAGAGAGAAGATTATGAGCCGCCAAGAGAAAATGTGACAAGCTGTCAAGAGAGAAGGTACTAGCCAGCAAGTTGAGAAAATAGAAAGAGCCACAAAGTTTAGACAGGGACAATCAAGGTTTTTGAATGTATAATTTCTTAATGTATGTATCTCGTTTCTTTATATGTATTTAGTAATTAGTAAATTATAGTTATTAAATGTTGAATGAGTGTTCAGTTGTCAGAACCCAACCTGAGATTTATGTTATATGTGTAAAATAAATAGTATATTCAAAAAGTAAACTCGTTGTTTTGATTATTGTTGACAAAGGGAACGTTACAACATGGCGCCCAACGTGGGGCTTTTGAGAACGTTACAATATATATATACACATACACCAGCCCCTTGTTTTTTTTTTTCCATCACAATAATAAGTAATTTTGAGAAGATTTTATGTTCATTAATTTTGTTCTTTGTTTATTTTTTAGTGATTATATACTATTTTTTAAATTAATGTATATAGTGTTAGAATTTTCATAAGTTAATTTTTGGCCAGATTTGTATTTTCTTTTGTATTTATTCATCATTGTTATTCTAAGGGGACTTAGTCCCAGAATAAAGTTCAATTTTCTATTCTATTCTATGTATATTAGTACCTTGAATAAGTTTTCAAAGTTTTTTTTGTGAAAATTAATGTTTTATTTTCCATTTCTATTTTTCCCCATCTTTCTGGCAGCATAGGAATTCTATGTCGGAAAAACGACTCATCCTTTAAGGCTTCCCAAGAATCTACCAATGTTTTGGTATCTTCATAACGCCCTTGTTCGTCCACTGAACAAAATCTCTGATTCCATAATCCCTAATGATTTCCATCCAATTTCCCTGTTATCTAATCTTTCCAAACCTTTAGAACGAATAGCACAATCCCAACTATCCCAATAACTCGAACAAAATAACCATTTGAACTGCTTCCAGTCTGGTTTTAGACCTGACTATTCCACTCAATCTGCCCTCATTAAAATCTCCCAAGATCTCCACACAGCCATAGACCAACAGAAACTCACTATCCTGATCCTTCTAGATTTATCTAAAGCATTCGACTCAGTAGACCATAATATCCTCCTATCCAAACTTAAAAATATTTCCTTATCATCTAATACCCTTAAGTGGTTCCAATCCTTTCTCAAAAATTGCTCCCAGTACATTGTAGTTCCTAATAATCCTCAATCAATGTCTCTACCTCTGTCCAGAGGCGTCCCACAAGGTTCCTCATTACTCCCCACCCTCTTTTCCATCTACATCAATGACATCCCTTCCTCTATCATGCACTGTAAATATCACCTATATGCCGATGACGTCCAAATCTATCTTTCCTTCAACCCAACGGATTCCTCTAATGCCATCCTGAAACAGCAACAAGACATCAATAGAATATGCACATGGGCGAGTCTTAATAAGCTGATATTAAATACAGAGAAGACAAAAGCCATCCTGATCGGATCCCCCTCACTCCTCAAATCCATTTCAGCACCTCCTAATCTTCTCCTGAACAACTCACCTATCTCCTTCCATACCACCGTTAAAAACCTTAGCGTTACCCTTGATCAAACCCTCTCCTGGAAACCACACATCTCCCAAATTTCCTGCCGAACTATATCCACCCTGAAACAGTTTAACCATCTATGTTAGCTTCTGTTCAAAAGCCGTCAACTTCTGGTCTCCTCTCTTGTTTTCCCCCGCTTTGACTATGGCTGCATGGTGTATGGTGGACTCTCGGGAGAACTCGAAGCTAAATTTAAATGTCTTATGAATTGTTCAATCCGCTTTATCTTCGGGATCTCAAGAGATACGCATATTACCCAGTTTTACACTGAGTTGAAGTGGCTTTATATGTCCTACGTCCATCAATATTTCCTAGCTACCTTCCTATACCAGGCCATTGTATAGGCTGACGGCTATATTCTACAGATCCAACAATTCAAATGCTCCTTTCAATCCCGTCAGACCAGATCCCGTGCGTCCGACCTCTATCCTCCTCCTCACTGAACTGCTGCATTTGATAAATCCTTTTTAATTCAAGTTGTCTCCCTCTGGAACTCTAAACCCTCAGATATTCGACACCCAAAATCAGTATCCTCTTTCAAATCTCTCCTCTTCAAACACCTACTCCATTCCCAATGTGATTGATCACGAAATGCACTTAAAAACCTAAGCTGTAAGAATTTCAAAGTACACACAGATACTCTGATTATTTTGTGATTCATTGATATCTTGTTTACTAAATTACTTTCTCTGTTTATTTTATATTTATACACGTTTTTATATCTTTTTATTATCTATAATTTTATTGTAATCATCCCCTCCTCCCGTATTCTGAAAAGGAACTGGAGAAATATCAGGCTGGATTTCGAAGAGGACGCTCAACCACTGATCAACTGTTCTCTCTGAGAATGATCCTGGAAAAGACTATGGAGCGTAAGGTAGTCACCCACCATTTATTCCTGGACTTTAAAGCAGCATACGACAGCGTTGATAGAACGCAACTATACTATGCCTTGGAGGAGCTAAGCATCCCTCAGAAGCTCGTACGCCTAATCAAGATGACCATGGACAGCTCCAGATGTAGAATACGCGTCGGTTCTGACGACTCCGAAGAGTTTAAAGTGAGCAGTGGGGTTAGGCAAGGGGATGCCCTCGCCTGTCTATTGTTCAACTTGGCAGAGGAGAAAGCTGTAAGAGACTCCGGTATTCAGACCAACGATATAATCTTCAATCGCCTGATACAGCTTCTTGGTTTTGCTGATGATATTGATATAATAGGTAGGTCTGAACGGGCTCTCAGAGAAGCGTTTATAGGCCTTGAAGCAGCTGCAAGACCACTTGGTCTAGAAGTCAACGAGAGGAAAACTAAGTATATGAGAGTTGGTGGTGAGGTGGATCTGAACTCTCCATTTGAGGTAGGTTCTTTTAAGTTTGAGAGAGTGAAAAGTTTTATATACCTTGGGTCTGAAATTAATAGCAAAAATGACATGGCTCAAGAAATACAAAGAAGGATCACGGCTGCCAATAGATGTGTCTTTGGACTTGGCCGACACTTAAGAAGTAGGTACCTCTCAAAGAAGACCAAGCTGATCATATACAAGACCCTTGTTCGACCTGTTTTCACATATGGCTCAGAGGCTTGGACGATGACAAAAAAGGATGAGATGAAGCTGAGTGTGTTTGAGCGAGGAGTCCTCAGAAGGATTTATGGTGCAGTAAAGGAGGGTGATGTCTGGAGGAAAAGAAAAAATAGGGAGCTCAGTTCTCTCTATGCAGACATCGACGTAGTCACATATATTAAACTGGCCAGACTAAGGTGGGCAGGGCATGTGGCCAGAATGAGCACCGTTGAAATACCAAAAAAAATAATGATGGAGGAGCTGCACCTCGTAAGACGGGTAGGAAGGCCGAGGACGAGATGGTTGGACAACGTGGCCTATGATGCGAGAACCCTGCTTGGTGTACGGAACTGGAGAGCTGCAGCAGAAGACAGAGCCAACTGGCGGAGGCTCTTGGAGGAGGCCCAGTCTCGGTAACGGGATGTTGTGCCACAAAAAAAAAAAAAAAAAAAAAAAATCATCCGGTAAATACTAAACTGTAGTATATGGACACACCAGAGTATTAATATACTTTCTGTATTTGTAACTTGTTCTAAAGGGACACTAGTCCCGGAATAATAAAATTATTTTCATTTCATAAGAATGGAAGTGTTGCTCAGCCAGGCCATGTGCCATCAAACAAAATGAGTATGGGGCTATATCCGGTGAATATGGTGGGTCGGACAAGAATTCCCATTTAAGTGTTTCCAGGTAGGTTTTTACCAGTTTTGCAACATGTGGCTGAGTGTTGTCATGTAATAAATTCACCTTGTAATGTCTTTATTCGGCTGTCATTTTTCTTTAAGGCTTGGCTCAAATGCATCAATTGTAG